AACATGCTCCTAAACAATGACTGGGTCAAAGAAGAATTCAAGAAGAAAATTAAAACATTCTTAGAGACAAATGAAAATGAAAACACAACATACCAGTACTTATGGGATATGGCAAAAGCAGTTCTAAGAGGGCAGTTTATAGCAATAAATGCGTACATCAAAAAAAAAAAAAAAAAAAAAGAAAGACTTCACATAAACAACCTAACATACCTCAAGAAACTAGAAAAACAAGCACAAACTAAACCCAAAATCAGTAGGAGAGAACTAACAGATATCAGAGCAGAAATATATGAACTAGAGATTAAAAATAAAAAATACAAGAGATTGATGAAACAAAGAGTTGGTTTTTAAAAAGATAAAATTGATCAACCTTTAACTAGACTAACAAAGGTAGGGGGAGGGAGTAGAGAAGACCCAAATAAAATCAGAAATGATAAAGGAGACATCACAACTGGTACCACAGAAATACAAAGGATCAAAAGAGACTGCTATGAATAACTATACGCTAACAAACTGAAAACCTAGAAGAAATGAATAAATTCCTGGACACATATAATTTACCAAGGTTGAATCATGAAGAACTAGAAAACCTAAACAGACCAATAACAAGTAATGAGATTGAAGCAGTGATTAAAAAGTCTCCCAACAAAGAAAACCCCAGTACCAAATGGCTTTACTGCTGAATTCTACCAAACATTTAAAGAACTAATACCAATTCTTCTCAAACTTCCAAAAAATTGAAGAGGAAGGAATACTACCAACTCATTTCATGAGGCTGACATTAACCTTATACCAAAACTGGAAAAAGATATAACAAAAAAAGAAAACTACAGACAAATATTCCTAATGAACACAGACATAAAAATCCTCAACAAAATACCAGCAAACAGAATCCAACAACACATTAAAAAGATCATTCACCATGATCAAGTGGGATTCATCCCACGGATGCAAGGATAGTTCAAAATATGTGAATCTATAAATGTGATACATCACATCAACAGAATGAAGGAAAAAAATCCATACAATCATTTCAATAAATGCAGAAAAGCATTTGATAAAATTCAACACCTTTTCATGATACAAAAATACAACAAACTAGGTATAGAAGGAATGTACCTCAACACAATGAAGGCCATATATGACAAGCCCACAGCTAATATCATACTTGATGGACAAAAATTAGAGGCTTTTCCTCTAAGATCTAGAACAAGACAGGCTGCCCACTTTCCCCACTCTTATTCAACATAGTACTGGAAGTTCTAGCCAGCACACTAAGGCAAGATAAAGCAATAAAGAGCATTCAAATTGGAAAGGAGGAAGTCAAACTATCCCTATTTACAGGTGACATGATCGTATACATAGAAAGCCCTAAAGACTCCACCAAATTTACTGGAATTCATAAATGAATTCAGTGTAGTGGCAAGATACAAAATCAACACGCAAAAGTGAACAGCCTTCCTTATATGCTAATAATGAAATAGCTGAAGAAGAAATCAAGAAAGTAATCCCATTCACAATAGCTACCAAAAAAGTGAAATACCTAGGAGTAAACTTAAAGAGGTGAAGGACCTCTACAATGAAAATAATAAAATATTGGTGAATAAAATTGAGGCGGATACAAATAAACAGAAAGATATACCATGTTCATGGGTTGGAAGAATTAACAACATCAAAATGTCAGTATTACCCAAAGCAATCTACACATTCTACACCATCCCTATCAAAATGCCAATAACATCCCTCACAGAAATATGAAAAAACAATCTTAAAATTTGTATGGAACCACAAAAGACCCCAAATAGCAAAAGCAATCTTGAATAAAAAGAGCAGTTGGAGGCACCACACTTCCTGACTTCAAAATATACTATAAAGCTATAGTATCCAAAACAGCATGGTACTGGCATAAAATAAGACCAATGGAACAGAATAGAGAGCCCAGGAACAAATCCACTCATTTACAGCCAACCGATTTTCAACAAAGGTGCCAAAAATATACAGTGGGGAAAGGACAGCCTCTTCAATAAATGATGCTGGGAAAACTGGATATCCACATGCAGAAGATTGAAACTAGACTCTTACCTTTCACCATACACAAAAAGCAACTCAAAAAGGATTAAAGACCTAAATTTAAGACCCCAAACTATAAAACTACTAGAAGGAAACATATGAGAAATGCTACATGAAATGGGAGTGGGAAGTGCTTTTTTGAACGAGACCATGAACACAGAGGAAATTAAAGCAAAAATACACAAATGGGACTACATCAAACTAAAAAGCTTCTACATAGAAAAGAACACTAACAGGCCGGCCCTGTGGTGCACTCGGGAGGGTGCGGCGCTGGGAGTGCAGTGATGCTCCTGCCGCGGGTTCGGATCCTATATAGGAATGGCTGGTGCGCTCACTGGCTGAGCGCGGTGTGGGCGACACCAGGCCAAGGGTTGCGATCCCCTTACCGATTACGAAAAAGACAAAAAAAAAAAAAAGAAAAGAACACTAACAACACAGTGAAGAGACAACCTACAGAATGGAAGAAAGTGTTTGCAACCTACACATCAGACAAGGGGCTAATATCCAGAATATATAAGGAACTCAAAAGAAAAAATGGAAAAAAAAAAAAAAAGAACCAATTAAAAAATGGGCAGAGGACCTGAATAGACATTTCTCAAAGGAAGAAATACAAATGGCCATCAGGCACATGAAAAAATGCTCAAAATCACGAATCATCAGGGAATTATAAATTAAAACCACAAGAGATATCACTTCACTCCAGTTAGTATGGCTATTATCAACAAAATAGAAAATAACGAATGCTGTCAAGGATGCAGAGAAAAGGGAACCCTCTTACATTGTTGGTGGGAGTGTAAATTGGTACAGCCACTGTGGAAAACAGTTTGGAGTTTCCTCAGAGAACTAAAAACAGATCTACCTTACGATCCAGCTATCTCAGTACTGGCTATTTCATTTCCAAAGGAAATGAAATCAGTATATCAAAAAGGCACCTGCACTCCCATGTTCACCATGATGCTATTTACAGTAGCCAAAAGATGGAATCAACATAAATGCCCATCAATAAATGAATGGATTAAAAAACTCATATATATACACAATGGAATACTATTCAGCTATAAAAAGAAATGATATCCTATCATTTGCAGCAACAAGGATGGAACCGGAAACTGTCATATTAAGTAAGTCAGTTACAGAAAGAAAAATACTGAATGTTTTCACTCATGGAATCTAAGAAAAAAAGAAAATGATTCTCATAGACATAGAGAGTAGAATAATGGTTACCAGAAGCTGGGAGGAAAAGGAGTGGACTATTAACTGGTACAAAACTATGCTATGTACCCTATGTTATTCATTGTGCAGTGTATGCATGTGTTGAAACAACACATTGTACCCCACAAAAATAAATATCAATACAATTGAAAAACACACACTCACACACACACACACACACACACAACACTAAAATCTTCCATAATGAATACACATGAGGGCCCTTTTGAAAAAGTAGCTTCTGGGAATTGCTTTATTTTCTTTTTAAAGCCACCTTTGTAGTACCTGGCTTATAATTTGTCAATAAAATCAGCCACCAATCAGACATGGTAGCAATCTTAAAGATCAGTGCCAATGACTTTGCACTGAGTTCCTTTGCTTGTAACTTGTCCACTTTCACCAGTTCCATCTGGAAAAGTCCCAGGGTTTTCGAGGAAGAAGGCAATTGAGGCCAGAAGTTCTCAGCTCTTTTTGAAAATTTTCAGGCAACTGAAGAGTAGCTCCAGCCATTCACATTTTTTCAGCCAGCTATGGGAGGGCCAGAGCAGTGGTTTGTCTGCCAGCAGGGCCTGGGCCTGAGCATGACTCAGGTTCCTCTGACATCTGGTGCCAAGTCCACCAGCTCAGCCTGGGAAGCAATGTAAACTATTTTTAACAATATGTGAGGGGAGAGGAAGCTCTGGTTCCGATAACTCTTATTGGCTCCTCTTTAAAAAGCGCTTGGAAGTTCACCCATCTGGCAATGAGAAGTCAATGGAACTTGGAACTACAGAAATGGAAAATATTATTATGTACTGTGCTTTGCAAAACAAGCACATTCCTTTTTTAATGAATTGTACCTTTCACTTAAGAACCCTGAGAGTATTCAGAACACATTAGTGATTTTCAAAACAATTTCCAGGGCAGCTCAACGCTTTTCTGCCTCAACTAATGGGAGGGCTCAGACCCAATAAGACAAGATCACAGGACAGGCCAATGTCAGACCCAGCTAGCAGCCATACTACTCCAAGTCTATGATTAGACTAGAGCCCTGGTGGGGCCACCCCCTGAGCAGATGTGAGGTGGTCCATCTGGTGGGGACAATAACTAGGCTCCCAGGAGTTCACTCATCAATTCAACCCTGCCATATACTCCTCTGCTTTGAAAACTGATGAGTCCGCCTTCAAACAACATTCAACAGAAACACTTGTCAGAAAATATCACCTCAAATTGTCTACTCTCCAATTTCTATCACAAATTGGATGTTAGAAAAACTAAGAGGAAGGGTTATGGAAATCATAGATATCAGACTTATAAAACTTAAGGAAAAAAACAGTATCAGAAACCAACATAAGATTGCCAACTTTTAATTTTGCTAAGTAAGGATATTGAAAAAAAGTATCAATTATCACCAAACTTTTATTTAAAAATTTTAAAAAAGACATGTTAACAACAAAAAAGAAAGGTCATTATATCAGAATAAACAATTCTTTAAAATGATTGCATTTAAAGTTTAAAAAATTCCTTACACTAAGTCTGTCTGTATTCTTTTTCGTTACAATTCACAGGCCACAAACCTGTGAAAACATGCCACAGACTCAGTTATACAGACCTGCATTTAGGGCCCATGTGGCGTAGCAGATCTGCTTACCATCCTTGTTCACCTTCCTCCAAGTTTTAGGTATCATATTAAACCACTGGAAGATCATAATATGCAGAGTGAATATAGACAATTTTACCTAGCATAGACTTCTTCTTATATGAGGCTGGACGATCATACAGTGATCTCTGGATATCCGAATATTTAGAAACCTCTTTCCTTTCTAGCATGGGGACGTACTGCGTAGTATCAGCTTGCTTCATGTCCATGTAGTCACCATTGTTTTCAAAAGATAAAATAACATAACTGTAAAAACAAAAAAGAAATGTTACCTAGGTGCCCCTCTGGAGTGGTCACTCAACGGTCAGTAGATGATGCTTTGGGTGCCTACTGTGCCAGGTACTGTGGGAGGCATGGGGTCTACAAGAGTAGAAAGAACAAAACCAGTCCGCGCCCTTCACATGGGGTGGTCTAGTCGAGGAGATGAGCATGAACCAGACAATCACACAAACACATGGATCAGTGCAAACCGAGGTGTGCTGTGAAGGAAGATTTTGATAGCATATAAGGAAAATGCCTCTACCTGAGGGTCGAGGAAGCACTTTTCTGAAGATGTAGAATGAATCCCGTTTACAGAGATGGGAAAGCCTAGGGGCTATTTGATGTGGTATCTAGCATGTATAAAGGGCTCCACAAACGTTAGCTGCTGTGACTGTTATTATTTATTTACTTATTTATCTGTTTTCAGTGCCAGTCCTCCACACATCTTCAGCAGAAGCATAGACATTCTGAAGAGCCACCCCTAGGACAGTGTGGCTACATTCTACATGTTCTTATATTTAAAGTTAGAAAAATTCATTACATTAAGTCTGTCATTATTCTTTTTCTTTTTTTTTTTTAACTCACAAGCCCTGAATCTGGGCCATGTGGCCTGGGCAGACAATTCCTGCTACTCAATAAATTTAGCACTCACGTGGGTGTCCATCGAGTAATTCAATGTTAAGTAGATTCATTGTACTTGCTGATCTTATAAAACTTCATATCTACAGAGATCTTTATAGCCACTTGTAGGTTTCCGCAGTGGATATCACTATCATTGGCTTGATTTGTAGGTTCAGGTCTGGCAAAAACCAGTATCTTAAGGTTGGAGATCCTAAGGCAATTTCTCATGAGGTACAAGAACTCAGGCTTCTTGGCCAGAGCTGCATTTTATAAGTCCTAAGTGAATCATATATAAACTACAGAATGGCTCCCACAATGATTCCTACTCTCCCTCATTCAAACCTATCAGTAAGGCCTTCTCACATGATATTCCAATCCAAAACATCTGCAGAAATCATGCATCTGTCTGCCCTATCATGGGATGACTGGGTAGGGTCGTTTTGTTACCAGATGCCGATCCAGGCTTCTGGTCTATCCATGAAAAGAAAAATCTTTTCACAGGACCAGTGAAAGGGAAGGAAGAGAGGGACAGAGAAATGGAACATAATAGGGCTTTATTACCAAGTGAAGGTACGCGCCAAGAAAGTGCACAGGCATCTCTCCCAGAGACACACACTCTCCTGACCTTCTATCTCTCTGTCCTTCATCCTTTGTCCCAAAAGGCCCCCCAGTGGCAATCCTCTGCCCCTTTTGTTCCATCTTGTGTGCTGGTGCAATGGTGTAAAATACTAACTGGTTTGATAGGTAAGCTGTAGCCAGTGAGTTATGAGTCCATTAACTGCCAGATAAAGAGGCAGACAGTGATAATCTGATCTGAATATTTATGAACAGCCTCCCCGGGGTGTGTCCCAATTCTATTCCTGCCTCAGTTTAACTCTTGCTACCTTGGACACTGAATCTGCAGACATGGAATCTATCAGGACATGGACCCTTTCCATGTGTGAGACTTGTAAGACAATGACACACAGCAATGTCTCTCTTTGTACCCACCTCCGTGTGCTTTCATCAGCAGGGTTCAATCCAAAGATGTCCAACTCCTTCTTTGGCTTCTCTGGGTGGTGGCTCAGGAAGCTATCCCTATTCTTATGCAAATAGTTGACCAAATCCCCATAGAAGCAGTACTCGGTGATGATGTAAATGGGGCCTGTGAGGACCAGAACCAGTTAGGAGATGGGTATGAAAATGAAGAACAGAAAAGCCATGAAGCGCTGTTTGGACTGACAAGAAGTATTGCTCAAAAACAAAGAGCTTCAATCAATTTAATGCAACCATCTGACTCCATTCAAGGGACTTATATTCACTGGCATGTTTGATTTGGAGAGTGGGGGAATGTAAACCTGGTTCAGCAGTTTTCACAGTCATAGGTATTCAATGAACACCCACACTGCCAGGTCAGTGAGCCTACCTGATTTGGTACAGGCTCCCAGCAAGTTTACAATATTTAAATGTGGCCCCAGGTGAGTCATTATCTTCAGTTCAGACATGAGAGCTTGTTTTTCACTGGATCTGGCTGTGGCTGTTGAAGAAATAAATCACATCGGTTCAACTGAACTACCTATTTCTCATTCTCAGAAAAAGCCGAGAGCATAACTAATCCTGTGATTGGATATCATTTTATTCACCAAGAGTCTAAAAGAAAAGAAGATAGTGACTTGGTCTAGACTCTAATAACTAATCCCTAGTCTTTTGGGTAAAAAGAAGTCACTAAAAATAACGATTCTTGATTTTACAACCTAAGGTCAATAAGAGCTATCTAAATAATTGACAAAATAGTCTAGATTCGAAAGAACCAGGATCTAGTGCTAAATATGTGATTTACTAGCTCTGTGACTCCATGTTCAAAAAATCCCCAGGAAGGAGCACTTACGTTTTAGCATCTTTACCGCTACTTTCATGACAGGCTGGGACCGGCTTAATCCATAGGCTGTTCCTTCAACCACTTTCCCAAAAGCACCAGATCCCAAGATACGACCTATGGGCAACCAGAACAATTAACACACACAAACTCCAGGCAGCTCCCCAGCTTTATTTACCACGACCAGCCAGCACTCATGGGTGCACAGCTGGGTTGGTGTTTTTCCTATGCTGAGTAAGCATAATTATTCCTCCAAGTCATCCTGTCAAAACCAGAATTGAGCCCACAGGGAAGGAAATTAGTGTAATTGTTTTTGTCAAATAACATTTGCAAGGGAAAGGAAAACACAGCCAGCCGGGAGAAAGGAGGGTGCAGCCCTCCCTGGTGTGAGCGCTCTGTCTACCAGCTCCTGGGCTTCTTGGCACTTGCCTTCTGTGGCTCTCCCAAACACCCCTGGTGCTCTACCCTTCTGTTTTCCACATACAAACACAGACATCTTTTGCATCAATAAATCCTTAACCGCTGGAAAAAATACTTCAAATATTGTGTTCAAAATATTGCTGCTTCTAAGAAGTAATAAAGTAAAAATCTGAACTGGGCTGATAGCTGCCATTTGTCAGGAAGGCCACTATAGCAAAGGCTAAACGTGCCCTGGGGGCACGGCACTTTGCTTCATGTTGGGAGATACAAAAAGAAATTGAATCTACTCTCACCCTTGAAGCGCTCACAGTCTAACAGGAACATTTCCCAGGGTGTCAATCTCACCATCGACACACCGGGGAATGACTCAACTCCTAACAGACCCTAGCAGCCAACACTAACTCTTACCACATGTCTGCATTGCTGGAGGTTGTACCTGGAAAGGTATTGCTTCACCAGCAACTTCACAATACCCAGGAGCAGAGAGACAAAGAAATGCCTCTTGGCATATTAGGGATTTTGCCCTTTCCCTCCATATTTTATTACTTTTTAAATTCTCTAAGCTCCTTGTCCCTTTTCGGGAAACAAGGAAGAAAATATAATAAAGAAAGCTTAGGTATAACTATTTGAAATTGGGAGCAGCTAGGGGGGCCTTTTTTGATTTCAGTTTAAGTAACTCTCTAAGAAGACCTAAACTCTTCTGTATTTTGGAATGAGACAGATAAATAATTAAAACCTGTATCAGGCAACCTTCAAAGTATATACCGTTAGATTATTCATTGCGGCACAACTTCTAGCTCTTTCATTTGCCTTTGTCTTGTTTTCATTCATTCAGAATGTCATTTTTTTAAAAACTCTCTTGGAATAAAGCTTCATATACTTGGTTTCTCAATCCAGGATTAAAGTATTTGAAAAGTTTGTGATAAGTTGGCCTGCTTATTTTTACATATTTTGCTTTAAGATGTACCTATATTTTTCTGTACCATTCCAAATATATATAAGGAAGTGACTGACGCACCCTCAGAATGTGCTGCATCAAAATACATTTTGTGGTTGTCCTCATTCATTTCTCATCTGTTCCTTTTTAGTCACAGAAATTCATCTCATTATTAATTTGTTTCATTTCCAAAGCAAATAGGTATCTTTGCCAGGCCTCTTCATGTTCTCTTCTCCCTTTGTAAAATTTTCTTTAACCATAATTTGTTATGAAATGAGATTTTAAAAAATTCATTGCAGTGATCCAATTAACTCATTTTCAAGACAGAAATCTATTTCCGAAAGCAAATTTATATTGCCAGCTCTTACTAAGCACAAGCACAGACCCCTTATTGAGCCATGGGCCTGTAAATAGTAAAGCTGTGTACAAAAGAGAAGGGAGTCTTGGGAGGTCATCCCCTTAGGAACTTACCGAGCACTAGTCCATCTCTTGGGAACTCCCATCTCGAGTCATAAGGCAGCTGCATTGGGTCCACATAAATATATTCATGTCCATCGGGGCTGATTGATTCAATGACCCTCCAGCGAATTTCATACCTTGGTTTCTATAAATGACCAGGACAGGGAACTGGTGAATTACCAAAGTCCCAGTGCACCAAAGTTTCACTGCAGCAGCAAAGTGACTGGACATAGCAGGGTCCAACCATACTCATTCGACTAATAATTACTGAGCTCCTTCTCTGTACCAAGTACTGAACTAGGTTGCAATTCTTCTTGTTCTTATGGCTTCAAAGATTTTTAGGTTTTTGAGAACATACCTACCTGTTTCCAAATGACAACCAGGACAATAAGTGAGATGATCACAATCACCAACAGCACCAAGACAGCGGCCGCCACCGTGAGTTCAGAACGTAGGGCTAGGGGACAAGAGAGAAAGGCACGGTGGAGAATTTCCTCATGAACATGTAGAGGGGCAGGAAGGTGGTGTGGTTGTATCTTGGCCCAGATATCTCTCATTACTGATAGGGAAGTGTGGGGGCTGCCTGGCTCATTTTAGGGATGGGCAATGCCATCTCTCAGACATCTACTCCCATGAAACTAAGCCAACTCTTCCCTTAGAAGAGAAAGGGACAAAATTCAATTAAGGGAACTCAATACTTCCTCCAAGCTTCTTAAAAAGTAATCTTTTGGAGAGAATTAGAATAGGAACAATAAAGACTAGTAAATGAGATTGAGAGCTAGTATAAGTACAGAAACCTCCACTTTATAAGCTTTATTATAAAACTTATTTTGAAAGGTTACATTTTGTTTGTTTTATTATTAGCTTCATTCATCTTTTTTATTTTTTGTAGAATTCAACCTGTCTCAACTGTGGTAAGGAGCAATGAGATAGAAGATCTTTCTTCCCCATCCTCCATCCCCATACACAGATGCCCAGACTAAAGATACTGAGGAGCTATATTATTAGATGAGCAAAACATCTTGCAGAGGGACCTCTGCAAGATGTACTTTGGGATCTGAATGTGAAAGAAAGGCTCAGATGCCCAGAGAAGGCCCTTTAGGTGCATTCATAGCTGAATTTCTGCCTTGGGACCTTCACTCCTATCTGACCCCATCTGGGATTCATAGTTGTGCCTGAGGGAGACAGGGCTCAGCTGATGACTTAGAGTTGTTCTGACTGTTGAGCAACTCACTGGGTGCCACCAGCTTCAGCTCCCGGTTCTCAACCCCAAGGAGATTCTTAGCCAGGCATCGAACTGCAATGGTCTCCTCCACTTTGGTGAATGTCACTTGGCTCTCCACGGTACTCCTGTCTCGGGCATGGATCTCTGTGATGATATTTGACACGTTGTTGGCCAAAACTGTCCATGAAGTTTCATTATTACATCTAGAGAGAAAAAAGGCATAAGTACAGAGCCAGTTATTGGGAGTTGTGGAGATGAATGGAGCAGTGGGAATCCTCTAAGATGGAAAGCAGTTCTGACTTTGTCTACAATTCGGGGTTCTATAGGTTGACTTTTTTATTTTATGTGCAGATTAACATTAAAACTTGTTTGCACATCCTCAAGAAGGAATAACCTACATGTGGATAACTGAATGTTAACTGTTTAGGAAGGAAGGAGTAGTTCAGTAAAATAGAACTAACAATTCCTGATTGAACCTATGAGCAAACAGGGCACTTCAACTTCAAGCATGTTTAACGATCCCAATTTCCCACCCCCCCAAAAGGTGTGGTGCCCTCCCTTCTCACCACTCACACTGAGAAGAGTCCCTAAAGTGTCACTAGGGTTGGAGCAATCCTCTGTTTTGAGCTAGATTCCAGCTTCAGTCAACATCCAAGTCTGTCTCTTAGCCCTAGGAGAGGGTAGGACTAGGAGTCTCAGCCTTCAGGAAGAAGCAACCAATAGAGCCAGTTGCCATGAGTGGAAGTGGAACACATAGCTCATGTGTCCATTTAAGGAAGTGGAGAGATGGGGGAAGGAGGAGGAACTGGTGATTTAATGCCCACCAAACAGCAGGCAGGTGAATGACGTGTGAATAGTCACACAGGCACTATTTTCATTTATGTTCACACTCCAGTCTAGCCACCAAGCGTAGTTCACCAAATAAGAAATGTGAGGTGAGTATGCGGGCGGGGGTAGTCAAAACTCTCTTGAGACAGTGGATCTTAAAATTCATCATTTTTTCAGATTAGACACCTTCTTAGGATCTGATGACAGCCATGGACCTTCTCTTTACAGCTATTCATGAACACACACGCCCTGAAGCTGAGGTCCATGTTCAGAACCCAATCTTGTAGTTTATGAATAACATGACCCTTAGGCCAGATAATAATAGCAAATACAGGCCTGGCCGGTTAGCTCAGTTGGCTGGAGCACAACCTTATACCACCAAGGCCATAGGTTCAGAGCCCCAAGCCCCAGCCAGCTACCAAAAAAAAAAAAGAATAAATAAAAAAAAAATAACAAATATAAAAAAGAGCCATCAGAAGAAGTAAATTTCATTTGAGGTCCTTTGTATCAAGAAAGAAACATTCTGACCACAAAAGAATAAGGAACATATGGTTTCCATACTTCTTAATATCCTTGCAAATCATCCACTCAATATCTGGAAGAGGTGTGCCTTCAGCTGTGCACCTCACTGTCTGTCCTCCAGTAGAGCCATGGTGGTTGTCAACCAAGTCCCGGATGGATGATGGAACTGCAAGAGGTGGAAAGAAGTCACAACAGTTCATGTGCTAGAACTTGTGGGGACTGCAAAGTGGAATGAGTTCAGAACTTGTCCACATGGCCTAAGAACCAACCTAGTGGAGGCTTAAACCAGTTGTATGAGTAACACTCCAGTTTAGACAGATCTACTTGGTTAACAGCATTTTCATAGCTGCAGTGTTTTGGGATTTGTGCCTGTGATGTTTTAAGTCTGGAGTGAAGAAAGTGAAAAGTTCCTGTTGCTATTTGGCTTAAAAGGCAAAAGAGCTCCTTAAATTATATTATAGCTGAGACCCAGCAAACAGATTCAGCTAAAGTATAACCTAAAGCAGCATTTACCAACGTGTATCTGTGGGATATAATTAGGTTTTAAAGATTCTTTTTAAATCTGTGGTCAAGTAAGTTAGAGATATGCTAATACTAGTATCACAGATTTACTGTGAGGATCAAATGACCCCATATAAGACAGTACCCGGCACATGGTGGGGACTCAGTGAACAGGTGCTACACCTGGATGTACAGAGACTTGGGCACTCCATTCTGGTAGGGACCACTGTACAATGTCCACAAGGGAAGCCAAGCAAAACTCTCTGGAACAATCCAAGGTCATCTGGACCAAAAAGCATCACTTTACTATTCTCAGAACCAGAGGTGCCATATTGAGAAGCTGGAGTCCAAGAATTCCCAATCAGGCTGTTCCAGAATAACCCAGAACCTCCCAGAATTACCTGAAGTCACAAGTCTAAAAAAGCTATCCCTGACATGTGACATTTCCAGTCTGTGCTTCTCCCCTAAAGTGTTGCTTTTCCTTCACAACCTGGAAGAAAGGTGCCAGGCTTTCTTTGGGAGACATTCATTTACTCATTCACCGAGCTAGGGTTATCTCTGTACTGTTTCTACATACCCTGAGTTAACAGTTCAAAAGTATAGCTCTTCACGTCATCTTCATTCTGAACTACAATAGTATAATGGCCACTGTCCTCTTCCTTAGCACGGATCAGCTTTAATTTGCTTCGATACCTTAAAAGAAAAGGACTTTGTTTCAATAAGCAGTAGCTAAATAAATTCCAATCATTTAAACAATTACAGTCTTCAATTTTAATTTTATTATTGTAAAAAGTAAAAACATCTTCTTGTCTTTATTATCTCTTTTCTGGAATTCTTAACACACTATCTACATGTTGAAGGTAACAGTCATAGACAAAATTCTTGTAATAGAAATCCAGACATTTTGAGATGAGCCATGGCCATTTCCAAGAGCTATCAGTTCTATTAAGCCCTGGCTTCTGAACGGGACAAACATAGCCTGCCAGCTTTTCTTTTTTTAAAAATCCTTGATTTCTATCTTTTTAGAAAATATGTACTTCCCCTATATATCCATCATTTAGGTGGTCCAGCCAAACAATGGAACATGACTGGAGGAAAGAATAAAGATGCTCTCCATGTATTAATAAGGAGAGGTTGCCCAGATATAATATTCCTACTTGCTTGTATTTGCTTAAAGAAATTCTGGAAGGTTTCATAAGAACCGAATGAAATGAATAAAAGTGTTTCCCTGTGGCGAGTGGGGGGGACTGGTCAGACGGGGACAGGAGTGGAGTGAGGCTTCTTACAGTGCCCCCTCTTATATTTGAAAGCTTATTTTTAAAGCATGGGATTCTATCACCTACTCAAAAAAATGGAGTGGGGGGGACTGGTCAGACGGGGTCAGGAGTGGAGTGAGGCTTCTTACAGTGACCCCTCTTATATTTGAAAGCTTATTTTTAAAGCATGGGATTCTATCACCTACTCAAAAAAATAAGTTAGAAAAAAACTCTCTTCATACATTCTTAAAAGAAAGTTTCCCCGAAAGATTTCTTATATATATATATAAGTGACATTTGGCTGTATGTGTATGTGTATGTGTGTGTGTGTGTGTGTGTGTGTGTGTGCATATTTGCCCATTTTGATTGTCCTTCTTTATAAAACCTCACAGTGCAAAAAAAGCAACTGGAATGGAGAGGAAGAGGACAGGTCATGGAATGAGAAGACCTTGGGCATCACTGAAATTCTCTATGCCTCAGTTTCCTTACGTGTAAAATGGGATGATTGTATGCATAGCACAGAGTCATTTCAAGGATTAGTTAAATGAGATTACATGTGTGAAAGCATTTCATAGGCTCAAAAGCACTCTGCAAGTGCTGGGGTACTAGGACCTGCAAGGAGAGCTTGCTGGGCTGGTTTTTCCTCTGCTGCACCATATTGAATATGCTTCAGGACTACATTTGCTTAGTGAGTCCCCTTAGGCACACTTGGCTGCTGATTACCAGATGATCTTCTGTCATTCATGGTCCATACTTTTCAGCTGAGAAAGCCAGTGGGTCCACCAGTTTTAAGTTCCATGAAGCCAGATACCCCATCCACCATGTTCATCCTTGTGTTCCCTGGCTATAAGAGGAACTTTAAAAAGTATGTGCTGAAGGATTCTTGAATCACTTTAACATGCAGCTTTCCAGAAGCACTCAGCTGGCTTGTCTTGTCATTGCTCGTGATCATAGCTTGCAGACAGTGCTCACGCACGTTCGCGGTGTTAGCTGCGGTAGGATAACCCTATTCCTCTTGAGCCACATAGCCTCATGGAAAGTTCCTAGTGGAAAGCTGCCCACTTCATTCTGCAGCTTCATCTCATGTCCTCAGGGAACCTTCTACATTCAGAATTCTTTCTTCTTTCCCTACCACTGTTCTATAGAGGCTGTAAAATTCCATTTTCTCAGATGCTGCTTCTCAATTGCACGTGTGAATTTTAGTTCAGAAAGAACGCAAATCCTGAGGTGAACTGAACTGTTGAGAAGAGTTCTGTTCTCCCCCTTCCTGAAGGCTTGAAATATAGGACTGATGTTTGCATTGTGGAGATTTCTGACAACGGCATAGGGCTAAATGAGCTGAATGCTTCAAGATATACCTCTGACTCTTGGATTCTAATCATAGCTTCAAACTAGAAGAGACCTGAAGATATCACCTAATCTAATTCCTTGCCCTGAAGGACATAAGGCATTATTAACCCTGCATTATATATGAAGAAACTGAGGCTGACTTGCCCAAAACTCCACCACTAGTTAAGAGATGAGAGCAGTCTACCATTCTCATCAAAGGGCAGGGATCTAAATGATTCATTGCATGCTTCTCTCCTGGCCAATTTAGCCAGGCTCTGCTCTTATTTCCTATGGAGTCCTTGATTAGGGCAAATGTGCTCCAAATTAAACCAGTGATGTTTTGTTTCATGTAAGTTGATGTGATAATTGCCTCTCAAGTGGAATCACCATGCATATCTACTTGCAATACGGATAATGAACATCAAGGAATATATTCAATCTAAATGGGTCTAATTTTACTTTCTTTCCTACACCCCTAACTGGATCCAGTAAACTGTCTCTCATGGGGTTGGGCAGTGGGGGGCAGTTTTTTAGTTCTTTCTTCTCATTTTATCATTAAATACTTACCAGCATACTATTACCACGTTGCGATGTGATGATTAAAGGGACTTGATTTCAAGCATCTGTTAACTCAGATTGCTACATTTTCTAGACTGACTTTTGGTTTGGGTTGTAAGACATGCACAAACCTCATGTTGCGATGTGATGATTAAAGGGACTTGATTTCAAGCATCTGTTAATTCAGATTGCTACATTTTCTAGACTGACTTTTGGTTTGGGTTGTAAGACATGCACAAACCTCAGTCAATCTAGGGACACACACTAAAAATGACATACTTAGGAAGGGTGTTTCTTTACCTTATTTCCTGAATCTTTTCCACATCAGTGGTGATCTCAGTGAGATTTTCGATCAGAGTCAGGTTGTCCTTCAGCCAGGATATTCTGGGAGCGGGGTAGGCCTGCACGTCCACCACAAAATGTTTGACTTCATGCAGGTTGACAGCTTCCAACTGGCTGAAGCCGGGTTTGATTTCAATGAACCCTTTCTCTGTACAGGGAAGAGTTTCCATTAAGTAATGTTTACCGCATTTGGATCCCAAGCAGCACGGACGACTGACATTTTAAGAAAGCAGAATGTACCGTGGACAGAAATGGTGACTTTCTTCATTTCTTTCACTTCCTTGGTAGCCTGGCGGGCAGCACATTCATAATCTCCACTGTCTTTCACCGTGGCCTTGGGGACCGTCAAAGTGTACACCAGTTTCATGAGCGGGACTTTGCTTTCCTCCAGCTTTGTGATGCCTTTGCTTTTCTACAGCAGAAGGGGAGGAAAACCAACTTTAAAAAAGCTCGCTCCTAAGGGATGAGCACTAATGTAAACTGTGGACCCTGGGAGGTAAAGACGTGTCAGTGCAGGTTCATCGATTGTAATAACCGCTCTGTGGGGGATGCGGACAATGGGGGACAACAATGCAGGGGCTATATGGGAGATCTCTGTATCTTCTGCTCAGTTTTGCTGTGAACCTACCACTGCTCTGAACAATAAAGTCTAATAAAAAATATTTTAAAGGTCATGTTTTAAAATGATATTTAACGATATAGCGTAAGGTGTTTGTGCTATACTACCAAAGGAAAAAGGATATAACAAACAACTATTTACAGAATAATCCTTATTCTCCCCTTACCGGCCAGTTGTCAAAAAAAAAAAAAAAGGAAAAAGAAAAGATGAATCCTTATTCATTATTTTCTTTCTTTTTTAAAATCCTTACTCATTATTAAACATTTTTCTATGTGTAAAAAATATTTAAAGCATTTATCTCGCTGAAATATGAATGGTGATGCTCTCAGAAGAAGCTTTTCCTCTATTTCTCTATATTTTATAAAGTTTTGGCAAACCTACATTGCTTATATAATCAGAAAATAAATGTGGTTTATAAAACAATAGTTGTTGGATTATATATTTGGGGGCCAAATAGCGTGCACTTTGGTTTGGAAAAAA